TGTACAGTCAAAAATGGATCTTGAACTTGAATGCAAGAAATTAATAAAATTGACCCTTGTATGCTCTCCTTATATTTCAAATTCATAGGTAGAGATGTCATCTTGAAAACTTTATCTCATTTGCCCATTTGTATAATTTAAAATTGAATATCAAAATTTAACTTTAAAATAAACAAAATATATATTTTAGATGACATTATCTTTGTCGCCATCAATTACATAAGTAAAAAGTAAACTTAATGAATGGTTGGTACAGATTGTCTTCCTTTTCGTATTGATATTAGTCAAACAGTATACCATATCAAAAAATGCTGCTTAGAATGGCATGCATAATAGAGTTAATAGACTTATAAAGATACAAAGGAGATTTAACTTTTAAAATAATTAAATAAGAAACACAGAAAAATGAACTTTGCCTCGTAAAATATGTTTCTTTGTGAATACTTACCGAGTAATAATACCTTAGAAAACTACTACTAATACTACCTCGCAAATCCAGCTCTCGCAGATAATATTTTTAACTAAGGGAAGATAGATGTTATCTCCTCACCTAGGTGTCGGTCGTGCAGAATGATTTTCTTTGATATAGGGATTGGCGCCAAATCAGGTGAATATCTCATTTCCTACTGGAGCTTATGGCATGCTGTCTGCGTGGATGTAACTGATTGGTGGCAGTATGTGTATTATGATTGGGTATGTGATCTCAAACAAACATATTTTACCAATCTAAATTGGTAACTTTGTTCAATATGTTACCTCATCTTCATACCTTAGGAAAATAGGTAGGAGGTGGAGTGATAAACATTTGTTTACTCCGTGTAGACCATCCCCGACACCTTAAAGTATGTGAAACAGCTTCTAGATAACCATATTGGAAAATACGTCATCGGTTGGGGAGCGGCTTTGAAAAGGAAAACATTTACCTCTTTCAAATATAGCGGAATTCGTGAAGCCATTTATGTTTGAAACTATCAAACAATCTAGAAAAAGAACCTTTGTGCCGCAGATATAGTATCCTCCAAATCGACTTGAGCGTATTAAAAAGAGATATCTCTGATAAGAACTCGAGAAGTGTACTCGGATCTCCATCTAACTGCATGGATTAAGATAGTAAGAAAAGAGTTTCATTCGTATGCAATGATGATGCCAAGTGTCCTAACACGTAGAGCACATTTATTGGTGTGGGTGTAGCCCGATATGCAGGACAGATAGCCCAATTTATTCAGGATGAAAATGCTTAAGTTGACACATTATCCCTCTTCTATTTAAAGGTAACGTGAGATGTGATATATAGCTTTGCTAATTATATTCATTCTTGTAATACCACATCAGAGCTTGTGATGAAGTGTCCGGAACAGACGGAATCTGTTACCAATATCAAGTTCCTCTTGAACGAAAACGTATTCTTTCTAATTAAAATAGGGGGCTCCATCAGCGATATTGATATATCGAGGTGGGACTGTATGTATTGAGGGAGCATAACTTATAAGATAGGTGAACGAAGTAAGCTCTTGATGAGTTGTTCCGCGAAGTTAATACCCATAACTTTAACTTGGGTATGGGTCCAATGTCATCAGCAATGTAGAATCCAAATTTATATAAGATCAGACAAGATTTTGGTTTGCTCGATCTTCCATGGCAAAACAGTATGCTAGTGATTTGTGGAACCGTAGGTTTAAATGTAATTGGTGCTAACTTTTTCTCATAGAATAGGCATTTGTGCTTTGTGAGCTCCACTGGGACTATATTCCATTACCTCCGTACGATTCTAAGGTGGATAGACATATCACTTGAGGATACTTCACCACTTTGAAAACTGTTAGTTCTTCAAGGTGTATTTCATAAGCTGCCAATATGCAGGTCCAGTAACTTTTGTTGGGGTAAAACCACTTCTTGGTTTCCTGATTCGAATGGCGGAATAGTTCAATTATGTTGTCTTTGATGAAGTTTCTCCAATATTTCGCAGTGAGTGTTGTAATCAGGATTAGGAGACACTTAGATTTAATGATTTATGTTTCCCCTTCCGATCTTGAAGAAGTGTATACTTTTGGTCATTCCAATCTGTAGAAAAATCCATGATCATTCAGGCTTTTGTGTCCAGAACTGTGGAGACATGGGTGAGGTTTAGGTAATCCATCTTGTCATCAAAGGGTACATCAGATTTCTATTCTATCGAGAGCATATTGAGTGAAAACTGAGGGATGAAGAGACCTTTTCGTTTGTATTATTTCCTTCTTGCAGAAGCACAAGTCTGTCCATACATTAGCCAGCTGAGTACATGCATGCAGTTTCGATGAGGACACAACTTTACAAAGTCACAAACAAGGATAATACTGTCTGACTATTTGTTCCACTTTATTGCTTGAGATGTGTCACCAGAGTGAAGTTATTGGACAGAGAGAGAATTCCATTCCCTTGTAGGTTCTTCAGCCGCCAATGGAAACCATTCATAACCGTTTCTATCTCGATGATGTTTATATGTAAATAATAATTTTTCAGAGTTGGTCCAATGACTCCAGGTTAGGTTTCCTCTTGGAATACGTAATTATTGTTTAGGGAACCCAATAAAAGAGCCCAATAATAACACGACCCTGAACGCATAGGGCAAATCTCAGTCGGCAAAATAATCCTCTATCAGGTTAATTGTTATCAATCGACATAGAACTTAAAATTACACAAATTAATTTCTCATTCCTAGTAACACGTTCTTTTCACCAGACCTAATCGACCAAATATTGAAAGTGTACGAGTTTAATGTCCACACTGATTGTGCAATCTCCACAATTGACGGAGTTAGGATCCGATGTTTCATTCAATCGGAAAATCAGGAGGATAACATAATTGATTGTACGTGCTTAGGAAAAATACCAAATGAATATGTGCTGCGAAATAGCAAAAGAACTCTAGCCCAAGGCTGTACCAGCGCAAAATGTGATGTCGAGTCCCCTTGACGTCATGATAAATCTTCCCAACTCAGCCAGCAACGATTGGTGCCTTCTCCCTACCGGGCTCTGCTATATGGTAGAGTGGGAGACTTATGCAAGTCATTGAGATAGTGATGGTCACGTGTAATGTTGGCGAAAACGATCGACATTCCCTGACTCTTATCCTTAATTATGTGTTTCCCATTGTCATGTGCTCTTGGGGCATACCTGAGACCTATCGATGGCTGTCCTACAAAGCACTCCGCTCTGATGGTGGCATATTGCGAATTTCGTCATCCTAATCATTAAAGCGAAGACTAGAAGATGAAGGTTGCAAGCGTATCTTTTGCCATGAATGGTCGGTATGGTGAAAGTAGAAAATATTTGTCCACCTTTTGCAACTTCATAGCTGTCATTGCGGATACAATGTTATACTGTGTATATTCTGCCCCAGTTATGAAGTGGACCATCCGATGAAAATGCTCCCGTTTAATTCCATTATTAACTGTCTTGTAGTAACCTTAATTAAGAATATGACTTACAAGCGGTCGCTAATAAAATTGTCTCTTCTAGTGATAAAGGGTTCAGAAATTTCGAAGCGACATCGGATGAAATTTGAGGTGCTAAAATTGACATCGTAAACAAAAAGTGTTTTGAAGCAGAATGTGGGTACGACTAGTAATCCACGTTCACCTGTATGGACCGGGTCGACTCACTTTATGACATAATGTCTTCTAATAACTTATCCTGTCGAGTTTTTTTATCGTGGCCACTACGAAAACATTTTTTTTCTTAGTCTGGTCTACGTGGAAGTAGCTCATCTGTATGGGGAGACGGTCTTCCGGGTGGGAATGTTGAATATTCGCTTTGCTCTTTCCTTCGCTATTTAGCAGTAGACATATAATCAAACCTTGAGGTGACCTGTAGTGTTCACGTATCGAGATTTAGATTGTGGTATCAATTTAATGTAGAATCTTTCGTACGTATGTATATATGTGTTTCACCCATCCAAGTAGGATCTCATAACGACGAGGTAACATTAATGTCAGTATGGTCGTTTCTATATTAATGTAGTGAGTCAACACTTCCTGCGCGAAGTAGTGGGAAATATCTATAATCATGGCTCACTACACTTGAGACATTGATCCCGTTGATTCTAAAGTGTCGCTAAGTTGAGTCATTGTGAGGCTGAGTTTTGAGGGCGAGTAAAGATACATCTCTGGAAAACTGAAGTTCCAAAATCGACATCGTTCGTCGGATATAAATAACTCATATGTCGCTTTTAGTAACATGCTACTCAGTAAAACATGTATAAAAAAACTTACCGATACTTAACCGACTACAGAGGAAGCTAGACGGTACCGTAAACAAGTTCTGTGTTACACATAACATTCTGCACATAAAAAGGAACTTACTTACCATTATTGACATTTACGAAATAAATACACCAAAAAATTCGTTATTGCTCAATTGTACATATAGGAACAAAACAAATACGGTTCTATACAGGTAAAGTAAATAAAGTGTCATGCATATGATCAAGAATGAGTGCTAGCAGACAAACTAATGAAGGCAATAAAGCATCAATATCAATTCACAATTCTACCTGTAGGAATGCTCAGGTAAATTAGGTGAAGATTGACGCACAGATGGCAAGATTGCATTGGTATAGAAAACTTACCTATATGCATTTGGAAGTAGCGGAAATTACAAGTTTGTAAAATTATAAGTTTAGAGTTTAAATAGCCCACTACAGGCATGCACGCGTATATAAAGTAAACAAAAACTATGGTACAGTTACATATACCATTCTTCCAAGAACGTAAATTAAGAGACATTGATAGATAATGTGTGTGTGTGTGTGTGTGTGTGTGTTGTTTAGATTTTTAACTAGCTTTAGCAATTTTTCAGTCAAATTGCTATGATGTCTGCAGAGTGACAGTTTATAGTGATGTCTAGCACTGGGGCATCATGCCACAGTAACATTATGCTACTCCAGGCCGACCAGTACTAACACTTACCTCTTAATGCTGAGCGCCAAGCGAGGCAGCAGTTATTTCCGTTTTCGGTATGATTTTTTCTGGGATTCGAACCCACGACCTCCCGCATTCGAGGCGGACGCTCTAACCACGACGTCACCGGAACGGACTAAATATAGGTGGATTATACGATACTCTTCAAGTGAAGGTTCTACGAACTTGTTAGAAGTGCCAGAAACTTGGTAGAGTATTTTCGAGGTCACTTTTGAGCAGATCGATCTGTTTGGCACCAGTTGTAAATCATATATTAACGGGATTTGGCACCAATCCTTTTGCCAATAGGACAACACTCTGTCCAACCGCTACCTAGGCTTGCAGATAACGTTTAGCTTATTTTAGCTACGTATTATCTGAGACATCTGGATTTGTTGATAGTAATAGTTCTGTTAAGCTATTACGATTGAGTAACGTATTTAAAGAAGAATCAAGATCACAAACGCTTTGAAAGAACTTTACAATCACTCAGACTGTTAAGCCAGTACAGAGAGAAAATACAAAGTACCTCAATAAAAAGTAAGGCCAGTAATTACCCGATGAAACTAAATTTTAATTGTTTCTGTGTTTACAGCTTCCACATGCGCAGTTGAATTTATGTGACTTCCTATTATTATACATACTACTTAATTTTCTTTGTTTTATTCAACATCCTCATGGACTGTCTAAATATCCCAAGATTATTCTCAGTTATAAATAATACATATAAACATTGTTTGAAACAAATGCTTTAACCTTCATAAAAATGGTAAATCTACTGCATTGATTAGATATTTGTAAGACCGGTAATGTTTCTAATATTGTTGGTAATCACCAAGGGAGAGAAATCTTGAAGGGTTTATAATGTCAAAATCTCTCACACACTAATAGGAATGAAATATTTCAGTTTCTTTCTCTCTCTCTCTCTCTCTCTCTCTCTCTCTCTCTCTCTCTCTCTCTCTCTCTCTCTCTCTCTCTCTCTCTCTCTCTCTCTCTCTCTTTCTCTCTCTCTCTAGATTTAACTACTTACGGGAATATTCTAGAAATTAAAAGGGAGCAAATTATATGTAAAATTCTTTCAAAAGAAAAAAAAGAGCGTTATAGTTAATACGTCAGCATTAGAGAGCGCTATGGTATTTTTTCTAAAATTCTTAAAAATGGGAAAGGGCAGCATGCCGAATCAGGGCACTACATTTATATTTCTCCACTACTTTACGGAATATATAGTTGTATATCGCAAGTGGTACACTAAATGTCAGGTTAAAATATTAAACACCTTTGATTTACAAAACCCATTAGAATTTGCAAAGACAATGCCAGTTTGGTATATTTTTATTCTGTTGGGCTACATTGATGCATCTTAAATTCTTTGCAACGAATTTATGGATGAACTTAGGTCCCAATCTTATCTGAAACAGTTTATATATATATATATATATATATATATATATATATATATATATATATATATATATATATATATATATATATATATATATATATATATAAATATATATATATATATATATATATATATATATATATATATATATATATATATATATATATATATATATATATATATATATATATATATATATATATGAATATATGAAAATTGTGAGTATTCTTTAATTTTGCATATTTAGTTTGATCCGTGCTGAAAATTAAGTATCAATACCAATAATACTTTCGTAACCGTGCGGGATTAGGTAATGAACCTAAAAACGTTCTTGGTTTTGAACTTTTAATTTTAAGAACATAACTTGGTGCCTTGTGGTTTCTTTAAGAGTTTTCGGTGACTAGTGTCGCTCTAGTTTACTCAGTATCCCCTTTTAGTAACTTATAATAATGTAAATATATCACCAATTTAGATACAAATTATAGCAAATTATAGTAAGAAAATTCAAGTTCCATACCAAGGCACGAATCAAACTGCCCTACTCAAATTAAGGACAATGCAAAATACACAAAATACCAAATCGTTCTTAAGCCTAAATGTATAGTTTCGGTTTGATAAGAGGTGCATAAAATACTATATGGATTTTCAAATATATATCGAGAAAGCATTGGACAATTAGCAGGGTTATAGTTCGTTGATCAACACAACAAGAAATATGAAATGTCATTGTTTAACATGATGCACGGAAATTTTATTTCGCTGGCGTTGACCAAGTTATCAGTGCGATTTCTTAAAGGAAGCAAATTCGTCTCATCGAAGCATGGGCACCTAGTGGTTGTGTGGTCTAAAGCGCTTTCCGTTACGGATCACTGCCATCTCATCTCTGTGTGCGTGAGTTCGAGTCTAAGATTCGGCGAATGTGGATATGTGAGAGAGCTTGCCAGTAGCTTCTCATGGGTCGGTGGTTCTTTCCGGTGATTTTCCGGTTTCTTCCTACATCAATAATGCTGGCCGCCATGTATAGCCTTTACTGTGCTGAAAATTGGCGTTAAACCCAACAACAACAACAACATGTCATCTAAGCAGTGAAATATTAACGAAGCCAGCGGAGGAAAGAAAAACAGTAAAGATATCCACAATGACGGTCAAGAATAAATTATATCTAGTGATACTTTCAGCATATGACTTTTTAAATGACAATGAAATTTCAATGTAGGTATGATACATTCACTAGTTTTGAATCTACAGTCATGGCTGAAATACTTCACGGGTAACGTTCGAACGATCAAACACTATTGACAAAAATATAATCTGAAACAAAATGTACCACCATAAGGATAGGATGGAATGCGTAAAAGAGTAAGTTTTCAAATATAAATCAGAACACACTTAGGTACTTATTAAACATGTACAATAAAAAGAAAAAATGTTATTTATCAAACATATCTTCCAAATGTTCGCGCAAAATACAGAAATATCTCAACGTTTTAAATAATTGTACTGCCTTAACTTTAACCATTTTCAAACGTTAAAGTTACATATACCCAAACTTGTCTTGGTAATATTTGGCATGTATACATTTTAAACATATTTGTTTTTCCTTTTTCAATCCAATTATCAACACATGAAAGATCAAACGTGAGGAAACATCCAGTTGTTGTAACATATCTACTTACGTCAATCAATATCAAACAAGCTTGCAATTTAGTGATATCTATCCACATGTTATGAAAATTTCAATTTGTCCCATGCTGAGAACGTAAATGAATTTTAAAGAAATTAAATTAAAGGTGTTTAACAAAGGATCACATGTTTTCGCCCCAGATCTCCATATTATCTGAACTAGCCAAGTTTCCTTTTTACAGTTCCCTAGTTACATGTAAAAAAGTTCGAGGACTCAGTTCTTTATATCAGAATCATGAATAAAATGCAAATGTCATTGCAAATAAACTCACCATACGTGACAGCAAAGAGATGAAGCAAAGCACAAGCCACATTCATCCTGTCCCTGCAGTAACAGTACTTCATGTCCTGACCAGAAACAAGCAATATAATGTTTCTTCACGGCAAAGCCTGATTATGTATAGGCTGGTTTTCGTTGCATGTTATAGTACATTTGACATAGATTTCCGTTTGTTAGAACGCAACCATGTCATCAGGCTAAGTTGCATATATTTCAGTATAAAATATGCGGATAATTACTTTTACCAACTGCTATCCAGTCATGTGAAAAGCAGCCAACATAATTTCTGAAGTAGATAGAAAACATGTGAAGATTTTGTGCTGACATTTGAACAAAGATTGATTTAGACTGAATAAAACAACTAACCTTTGTATGATTGTGTGAACAAGCAGTACTCATTCTTTGAATATATTTGACATAACTCTGGATATTAAAAGTTACATATACACAGGTGAAGTTCTGTTGTCGCCAAAAATCTTCAAGTAAGGATTCAGATTTTTGGAGGATTGGAGGTGGGAAAGGGGGTAGGTGGATGAAATGTGCCTTTTAAAATAAAAGTCTTTCATCAGACACAAAAAACGTTGACCCATTAATAATGTCAACTGCATTAGTGGGTAAATGTATTGTCAATTTTAATTGATCAGAACGGTTTACCGGAAACTAAAAGCAACAGGCAACTTCCTACGACACATTTATGGGGGTTCGTTGAAATTAAATCAAAACTATTGGTAAACAGGGAAGAAGGAAGAGGAGAATCCGAAGACAAACAGTAACTTTTGGAATCCAGGTCCTAACTGCCAGACGCCGACATTGATAGTTACGATGATGGACATGGGCAGGGATAGATCCGTCGGGTGTATTTTGATGTGTGATTAAACATTTTACAGTTTATACAAGATACACGCAGAAAATACAACGTAACACTCTTAACTGTTTGTGATTTCATTCACTACGAAAATCGCATTCAGATGCCTGATGCAGGGAATGACTCTATTTATCAACATATATACAATACTATTTCAATCTAAGTCACATTATCCAAGATTTATATTATAATATTACAATAAGCACATGCTATTTTATTAGATGTGCATGATTTTATGTGTTCGATGAGACGAGTTTGCATCAGTAAACTTGTTCATCCATCAATCTAAATTATTAAGTATACTTAGTTTGTAGTGTGTAATTAGCCTCTGTCCATAACAGACGGTAGGCATTGAATCTACATGACTAATATTTTTTTTTAAAACCAACATAGTACCATGTTAATTCTTGTCTTTGATTTTAGATTATATTATAAAATAATTACTACTAGGAGGTTAAAAATGTTTACAGATCGTCTTCTTCCTGATGCTTGCTTAGAAATCGTTAGAATTTGTTATTCGCCAAAATAAACCAGTATCCACTTGCATACAATTTACCATAGTAATACGCATGTTCAATCGCTATAAACAACTTTAATCTAACACATCATCATCATCCGTTTGGTTTTAACCCTGCTCAAATGTATACATAAAAAACATGGCTATGAAGATCGTACAGAGTGAATTCCATTTCCTGACGTCAGACACTCTGTTTCCGAGTGGTACTGAAAATATGCTTACATACATACATACATACATACATACATACATACATACATACATACATACATACATACATACATACATACATACATACATACATACATACATACATACATACATACATACATACATACATACATACACACATGCATGCATGCACACATGAATGCTTGCATGCATCATAC